TTGCTATTGGTCGGGATATGTGATCACGTCGGGCTCACCAATTTAGGATTTGTCCTGGTGCGAACTTGACAGACGCAAAGACCAATCACTAATTATTCGAACTTGTTATATACCCACGAATACGAGACCAAGGAAGAACACGATAGCGTAGTCGGATGGAATAGTATATTTGGATGGTTATGCCAAAATACCGATGCGTTCCAACTAACTGGCTAGAGAGTCGAATACGAGCAATGCAACGTAACACGACAGCGTGCCAAATGGCGAGGATGCTTGACCGGATGCCTTCAGCTTAGCGAGTCCAGTTAAACTATCAAGGTCAGCATCAATGTCGAAGTCGTCAAACCCTAGGCTATTGATTTTGGGGAAGTGTATGACGCTACACACCTATGGGACTATCAGGTTCACTATTTAAGGAACTCTGAATTCTGTTATAGTATTGGGAGTTTACTATTTTTTACGGTTTGAACCTTCGCTGATGTTTGCCTTTAGAAAACTGAAGCGCCCCAAAATCAGAATTCATGCATATTCTAATACGGGACAGATGGCAGTAGTATTCAAAATATACGCGATAAATTTTCCCAATTTGAATCACCTCATTGTCCCCTGAATATTGTTTGTGTAGGTGACGAAGGTCAAAAAGGATTCAGTAATCTGTTACAGAGCACATTCAGCATCAGTTGGTATAAGCACGTGAACTAAACCCTCCATACCTACTTCAGTCCCTCTGACAGGAGACCATAACACCGCACACAAGCAGAAGTATGTGCCGGAAATTAAAAAGAGTTGGCAGTACTTCGTTTCTGACCATTCCCTTTTTACCAAATTAATTATATCGCTGTCTTCTCGCATCAAATTTCGTGGACCGATCCGAGTTGCATGTACTTCCTTTTCCCCTAGACTGGGGGATTTTACTTGGAGTTTGTGCGAGGCTAACTCCTCGATACCATTGTCTCAGAGATCCTCCGTACCTGTAGCCATAGAATTTGTGGAACTAGGTTCCCACATATATGTTGTACCGCTCGTCAACGTTCATCCACATCGTAGCGTCAAAAACTTCCCCAAAATCAATAGCCTAGGGTTTGACGACTTTCGACATTGATGCTGACCTTGATAGTTTAACTGGACTCGCTAAGCTGAAGGCACCCGGTCAAGCATCCTCGCATTCGGCACGCTGTCGTGTTACATTGCACTACTCGTATTCGACTCTCCAGCCAGCTGGTTGGAACGCATCTGTATTTTGGCATAACCATCCAATTATACTATTGCATCTGACTACGCTATCGTGTTCTTCCTTGGTCTCGTATTCGTGGGTATATAACAAGTTCGAATAATTAGTGATTTGTCTTCGCGTCTGTCAAGTTTGCGCCAGGCCAACTCCTAAATCATTATGTCCTGTGTTAGAATTGCCAGCTTATGGGTGTACACTGAAAGTTACTAAGTCGACCTAGAGGTTTTCTTTACACTAGGTTTCAGTCAGTTAGATTTGGCTTCTCATCATCTAAATGGTTCTCGATGCTGAGTGGTGTGCCTCACGGTCTTGGTCTACTACTGCTTCTTGTCTTCATTAATGACCCACCAGGACTCCTCAGTTCTCATTCACTATTATGTGCCGATGATCTGAAGATTCGGAGAGAAAAACAGGAGCCAACAGATATTTCGGTCCTCCAGGAAGATCTTTACAAAATCCTTGATTGAACTAAAGAAAACCTGCTCCTTCTCAACACAGAGGAGTGTGGGATAATTGTTGTTGGCAAATATGGGAATAGCCCTGGATCTTATCCGTTGGGCGAAATAAATATCTGTCACCCAAACATCGAAAAAGATCTGGGAGTTACTTTAACTGGCACACTTGGAGCTTCCGTCCATTGTCACCTTGCACCCAACAAAGTCTATGGAGTCCTGGAGTTGCATTCGCGAACTTTAGGTAGCCTAACCACGGCCCTTTTCACCAAAGTGTATGAACTTTATGTTCGTCCTCATCCTGAGAAACCTCACTCTTGATGTCTCCAGACATGAAGAAGAACATTTTCATCTTAGATGCCGTTCAAGGAAGGGCTACGAAAAAGTTATCAGGCTACGGTACAAACCTCACCTGGGCTGGCCACTGCCTTCTAAGCCGCGACCGGCACAATACCGGAAGATGAGAGGTGATATGATCAAGACGTATCACACTGCTTATAGTCCCCTTCATCCTAACGGATTAGTTTTCTGCTTTAGTCAGAAACTCATGAGAGAGTAAGTACAAAGATCCCTGCTAGCTTGCTTGCAGTTAGGATATGTAAACTGTGGCGCTCCATTTCTTTAGAGGTTTTTGCATGTTTCTCCTCTGACGCTTTCGAAATTAGGTCTGAGGGTGACCTATGAGCATGTGTAGACCCGGAAGCAGTCATGTCGTCTGTTCAGCCTGCGGAATCATGTCCACTGGTGCACATCCACCCTTCTATGAAGAACACGCAGTTGGATAATGGTTTTCAATGCCAAGTGTTGCTGGCCGTTTGAAGCACACTCTTCTGCCTTTCCTGCTGCTTGGGAACTCAATTTATGTGGAACCGGCGGAGGAATTTGAGGTCCGGTATACATTTATTTTCCGGTGCACGGAAGTATCACTTCAAACTTCTTTCTGCTCCTTCCATGACCCCATTTATGCTTCTGCAAATGAAGTCACACTACTTGTCACTTTTCTTCAGTCTTCCTTCAGCCTGTTAATGCAGGCTTTCTTATTCCTTACCAAGGTTGATACCTCATGGCAAAAGCCTAGGAACCACAGCAGCTTGCAACTTATCTACAAGTGATATCCGTACTTCTCCATGTCCTGACTGATAGCGTAAATAGTGCGATTATGCGCATAAAACCTGTATTGGACGTCAGTATGCAGCTGGTGCCTTACCTGCCGGTATATTACCCTCGAACAAGTCTGTGGGGATACTGCCCCACAACTGGATTCCGTTTCCGCAAATAAGGTCCACATAAGCACTCATTCGAAGTGGCTACCTTCTTACACACTGCTGTGCATGCGGACTACCCAGAACACAACATCCATATTTCAGGAAGACAATTTCGGCAGACGTCCTTAACGCCTTTGCGCCATCCACAACAAACTTTCACGTGGAAGGAGTCTCACCCATTATCCACCTAAGGGTGTCTAACATCCCCATCGCATCTGCCCGTTGATCTCGCTTAGTCCATCCAAATATAAGTGGGTGACTTTTATCGATGTCGTACGCCACAATAAACTGAAACAGCTTATAGCTACGTTTACAGTCACTGACGTAAACATTGACCCACTTCCTCTTGCTTGTATTACATGCTAGGTCGAAGCATACAACGTCTGGAAACCGCTAGTGGGTGTCGATTTGGCCGGCACTGCTGAGTCACATCCGATCCACCTGGTGACTCTCACCAACACACTGGGTCAGCAGACGGCCAACATTCCTCAATTTATTAAACACTTTTCTTCGGGATTTACGACCTGCAGATTAAAGGTTACTTGTTAGATAAGTCACATGGCATAATTTTACTGTGGACAAGTCTCCAGCCAGAAGTTGCGTCTTTCATAATAACGTTCTTCACATGCTGCATGATACTATCAGGTTCTGACCCTAGAGTCGGCATGGGTTAAAGAGCTTTCCGTTCTTCCCTCGTTAATCGTCTTCACCATTGATATCCCATGCGATAATCCACGTCGTATGGATGGCTGAGCACCGTCTCCTCACTTGGAAAATAAAACGACTTAATTCAAACCGTATTCGAATTCTAGGTTGACAACTAATATGCCTTGATCCAGAACGTCACCTCAAACACAACTCTTAGATTACCCCAATATCTGCTGTTTGGTACCTTCTGACCCCTTTCTGCTACTAGATATGCATACCAACACCAATTAGTGGAACTTCAGATTAGCGTACACCTCATTACGATGACATTCTCTAACAACATAATGAGTGCCCGTCATCTGAATATTGTGCTAAGTGATTTCAAAGCATACTTCCTGGAATATATTCATCATCCCTTTCACTTGACTCCAGGCAGCAAAATGTCTGGTTTGCATAACCTGCCTAAACACCGTAGACTTGTCCCCAAATGTTGCACCAGCCAGGCCAGAACTGCTCGTAGAGGCTTGTGGCGTCATACACTTCCCCAAAATCAATAGCCTAGGGTTTGACGACTTTCGACATTGATGCTGACCTTGATAGTTTAACTGGACTCGCTAAGCTGAAGGCACCCGGTCAAGCATCCTCGCATTCGGCACGCTGTCGTGTTACATTGCACTACTCGTATTCGACTCTCCAGCCAGCTGGTTGGAACGCATCTGTATTTTGGCATAACCATCCAATTATACTATTGCATCTGACTACGCTATCGTGTTCTTCCTTGGTCTCGTATTCGTGGGTATATAACAAGTTCGAATAATTAGTGATTGGTCTTCGCGTCTGTCAAGTTCGCACCAGGACACATCCTAAAGGCTTGTCAAGTCTCCACAAGTCTATGAAAAAGGATAGGTAAAGCATTCTCATTGTCAGACTCCCGGCTAAACGATGATTAGCAGCAATGGAACGTGTTGACATTCGCACCAGATTTCCAAAAGCCAGATAGAGGCTGTAGACTTTGAAGTAATTCGATGATCGGGGGCAGCACGTGCAGCATCAGGACTTTCTTAACGGTTAACCAACTGCTAACACAACAAGAACAACATAACGTGGTTAGATCTACATTAACTCATTAACATAACATGAAGAAATACATTTCAAAAAAGAAATATGCAAAGGACACTCTTTTTGTAACTGATCTTTGTCTCCAAACATCACAAACAAAAGAGCAGTTAATAAAACAGGCAACCAACGAAGATGGTATCATAAACGGGCATAACTGAGTAAAATTCATAAGATAAGAGCGTCAACTACGTCTGCAACTTTTATAAATCAACGAAAAACTCGTTAGCACGCAACCAATCGTCCAACATGGCCTATCAAGATGGCTAGAAGTGACCTTACAATGGTCACAAGACAGCATTCTGATTGGTTTCCAAGTCGTAAGGCGCTTGTTCAATTTGGCCTGTAGGATAACGGTGGACAACGGCAGTTCACCGGGAGTGGTGTTAATATGGCGAAATTTGGGGCCAAAGTTAAGGAGTTACGCTTCTTGGTTGCGCAAACCAGTCCTTCTAGCGCTGGAATTAGGTTTGTCGAGTGACTTCGCTCCATTTGAACAGTTTTTCATACTGTGTATACCGGTTGTAGCTCGTGGCCATAGCCGACTATTGGTTGGTTTGATATTCGTCGGTACATGGTGCTGTAGTCGAGTTTATAAATGTCCTATCTAAGTCCCAGTCAACATTTTTACGGGGAATAAGAAGTGCAGGGCTAAAAGTGGGACAGAACACAGGTTAAAAACTCGGTGAAATCTTGCACAATCCCGCGTTCTTCCCCGTTTTTTCATTACGATATGCAAAATACCCCCTTGTTTTTTTTCCGCGTAAATATTGGCTGGGGTGTATTATAATTAACCCAGCTTCCTTTTCTAGAGCATTATATATGGCCGTCTTAACATAGTTTTTTCCATTAACTACTTTTATTTGACGTTAATGCAGTGCCGATCCCGTTCAGAAGGTATTATCATGAAATAAATTTTACTAAGGCTGATTGTATATGATGTGCGCTTTGGGACATACGAGGATTAGTTGCGGTAATTCCCCTGCCTGTAGTTTCATATTCAAGGGCTTAGTAGCGGTTATTCGTGATGACTTCAAGTTGTCAGTTAATTGCTGGATGGATGCTGGCAGAGGCTTTTAAAACCTGTAGTCTTTTTAAAAGGAATCCCTGAGTTTTGACGAAGTTATATTCCGGATTTTGTACTCAACATGTGTAGGACCTCATTTAGAGTGTGATCTAATCAGTGATTCTATGCTTCAGAAAGCGTGTGCTCTTGTGATAGCTACAGGGGAACTAGTTTGAGGACTATAGGGTCTGAGATCCTAGGTTTTGTAACTATCATGTCTCAGTGGAGCTCGGGAACAACCAACGCAAGACATTCGCTCTCTGTCAGGTTGTGAAACGCAAGTAAACACGCTCAAAACTAGCTGTATTCCCCGACCTGAATGCTGCACTTGATCCCATCGGTCGAGGGGTTGAATGGCGGTGTCTGTAACTGAAGGGGGTGCTGAGTGAATACATCACTCTGTCGAAGGCGCTCACTCGAACACCTGTGGGTGCGTTGGAGCCTAAGGTGAGTTATCAAGTGAGTTGTGTACGTCAACTGGTGTCCGTCAGTGATATCTACTCCCTCCATTTGTATTCAGTTTTATCAGAAACGTGCTTCTATGTGTTTCCCTCTTGTCGTCTGACTACGTGGATTGATCCTTAGTAGATTTAGAGAATGCTGATGGTGTATTCTTGCTAGATAAAGATTTAGAGTTTCTGAACACCGTCAGCAGCAACATAAAAGTGCTTGGTATGCATTTCTCGTGACCTAAATTGTTGCTCCAAAACTGGTTTTCAGCGGTGTCCCGTTTAGCAATAGTAAGTGAGGTAGTTAAGTGCGTTGAACACCTCACTTACCTGGGATGTCATATCAGCTGTAGTGGGCCAGTGACTGACGAAATCTCTGCACGGATAACAAAAGTTCGAAAAGTTTTCACCAACTTACGCTCTGTTGCGCCGCCGTGACATTCTGTAGCCCATTAAGAGTTGAGTATACTGTACTGAAGTTCGCTCTGTTGTACTCTATGGCTGTAAAACCGCCATGGAAGGTAGAGGACATGAGGTGACTTTAGGTGCTCGACCACTGTCGCTTTTGTAGCATAGATCGTGTGTAGTGGAGCCACCATGTTAGTAACGTAAAGGTCAGTTGGGGATTTTTGGGGAGATGGTAGTCAGTTGATGAGGTTGTAAAGTTTTTTCGACTGAGGCGGCTGGAATATGTGTTGCGCTTGCCTAGCTGTCGTCTGTCTCATCGCGCTTTGTCGGCTGAAGTAGGTTCAGGCTGCGTAAGGGTAAGACGTGGCTCATGGAAAACATGATAGCGGTCTCTGAAGTCTTTGACTGTTGATCTGAGCTGTGTAAGGAAATGTAAACCTCCCAGTAGAGTTCCACGTGAGAATCAAAATCGGTGTTTGAAGACTAGAAAATATGGCTTCAGAACCTATGAAAAGCTTTCAGTTTTGCTGCAGCAGGTAGAGCGTTCAGATGTAATTATAATTGCAGGCGACTTAATCACTCAAGAAAGCTGAGCTAATCGAAAACGCGTCTTAGGGTTATTTTTGGAATCCCATGCAAACGGACCGACAACGATGATCGTCTGTAGCAATTTTGTTGCGACAAACACTTGTTTCCGGCCAGTACTAACACTAAGCATAAGCAGACACTGTCCCATAGGATTCACCGACATCAAACCAACGATGGACGCAGACAAATCATATTGCTATAAACCATCTTTGGAGAGGATCAGAAGAGGTTTGTCACTGCTTATGGAGTTCCTGTATGGACTCCGATCATGCACTAATACGGGAACTTGTATATCTGCATCTTACTGGGTGCAAATAACAAGTGGGAGTGAAGTCTGTAGATGCTCGATTGGAAGTTGAAAACGTCGAGTGTGTCTAACCTCCTTTCGAGAGCCAAACGTTCGGACGTAGTGGTTGTTGCAGGTGCCTTCAACGCACAGGTGGGTAGACTGAGTGAGGCAGAAAGGCACTTAGGTGGCACTTTCGGAATCCTGGCTGAACGTACAGATAACGGTGATCGCCTATTACAACTATGCTCAGATAACCACCTATTTTTAGCTAGTACCAATTTAAGGCATGAAGAAAGACATTGTCTGACGTGGCGCCCACCAACCTCAACTCAGCGATGGACACAGACAGACCACATTGCTATTAGTCGTCGCTGGAGAGGGTCGGTGGGAGACTGCTGCTCCTTCTGGAATACGTACTTGGACAGCGATCATGCGTTGGTCCGAGCACGTATGTGCCTGCGTCTCAATGGACGTAGAAAAAATTTGGCAACAAAACCACCATGAGTACTGCTGGACAACGGAAACACCAAAGCCATGTTCATTGAGAAGTTGGCTAGGCAGTTATCGGGACAGAAGACTGTCACTCATCCAGTCTGCTGTAAAAACAGCACCGAAGATTGTAACTGACTCCAAAATAGTAGCCAAAAAGAGCCAGTGGATATCAGCAGCTTCTTCCAAACTAATGGATGCACGTGAACGCATCCCTGCTTGCAGGCTCTGAGTACAATGAAGAGCGAGCGCAACTTAAAAGTAGACTGAGAAAAAGTCTTCGCAACGATCGTGAACAGTGGTGGGCAGCGAAGGCTAAAGAGATGGAAAAGGCAGCGGCGATCGGTAATAGTAGACAGTTATTTAGACTTGTTAAGGAGACTAGGAGGAAAAGGTCAGCAACAGTTAGTGAGACTATAGCAGAGAAGGACGGATCTGCGACTCACTCACAAAGGAGACAACTGGGACGATGGGCAGAAGAACAGTTTAACTGGTCCCCAGCCACCATTGCGTTGCCCGCTATCCAGTCGGATCCTGAATAGGACATAGAGATAGGTCCCCCAACACTAGAAGAAGTTGAGAAAGCGGTAGGTAACCTGAATCGAGGAAGGGCGGCAGGACTAGACGGAATACCTGCTGAGGTATACAAGAATGGTGGTAGAGTGTTCTTAGTCAGGTTAACGGAAGTGTTAACCAGTATATGAGAATCAAATACGATCCTCTCTGACTGGTCTGAATCACTGGTTATTCCAGTCTTCAAGAAAGGCGAGAAGTCCTCTTGTGATAACCACAGAGGAATCAGCCTGACGAGCATAGTATCCAAAATCCTAGGTTCTATAATTCTCCGACGCCTGAGTGGAGCTTGGGGAACAGCAAGCCTGAGAAACGTCACACGATGTTGGCTGAAGCAGGTTTACGCTGGAGAAAACCAGGCAGGATTTAGACCTGGCCGCGGGTGTATTGACCAAATATTCACACTGCGCCAGGTTCTGTAACATAGGTACGCTTACAGACACCCGACAATAGCTGTATTTCTCAACTTGAAGGCGGCATTCGTCTCCGTTGATCGAGAAGTCTTATGGCAATGTCTCTCAGTGAAAGGCGTGCCGAGTAAGTACATCACCTTATTGAAAGCTCTCTATTCCAACACTTGTAAGCATGTTAGAGCCTATGGTGAGTTGTCCGGGGAGCTATGCTCATCGAGTGGTGTCCGTCAAAGATGCCCACTGTCTCCATTCTTATTCAATTTCATCATAGATATTCTTATGGTGGTCTCCCTCTCGTCACCTAATTACACAACTGTTGACCTAATCAGAGGAGAATTTTCGTTAGACCTAGAATATGCAGATGACATGATATAGTCCTGTTAAGTGAAGACTCTGACAAGATGCAGAGTCTTCTGAAAACTTTGAGTGGAAATTTGAGAATGTTAGGGATGTGGTTCTCACCGCCGAAATGAAAATTTTTGCTCCAGGGCTGGTCTTCAGCGGTGCCGCGGCTAACAATAGAGAGTGAAGTGGTTGAGTGTGTTGACCACTTCATTTACCTGGGAAGTAGGATCAGCCCTGGTGGGTTAGTTGCCGATGAAATCTCTGCACGGATACAGAAGGCTTGATTGGCTTTTGCCAATTTACACCACCCATGGCGCCGCCATGATATCCGTCTGTCTACTAAGGGTCACATGCACTGCACAGCAGTCCGTTCTGTTCTACTGTATGGCTGTGAAACATGGCCATTGAAGGTGGAAGGTATAAGAAGGCTTCAGGTGTTTGACCACCGTTGCCTTCGTAGTATAGGCCGTATTCCGTGGTGTCACCATGTGAGTAATGTAGAAGTTAGGTGTAGTGTTTTAGGGAGTAGAGGTAAATCTGTTGACGAGGTTATGAACCTTCATCGATTGAGATGGTTGGGACACGTACTACGTATGCCTAGTCACCGATTGCCTCGTCACACAATATTGGCCGAAGTAGGTTGAAGCTGGAAAAAGGCCCACCGAGGTGGCCAAACTAAAACATGGCACAAATGTATAAAGTGTTTGACTGTTGGTTTGAGCCATCTAGGACGATGCAAACCAAGTGGTTGGGGTCCGCAGGACAAGAGGAACCAATGGTTGGTGACTGACTCTAGGTGATATGACTCAGAACCGATGTCAGTGGCGCAGATGTATACATACGTTATCCTCCTCCTTCACCTCATTACCTTTCTACTTGATTTACTGATATGTGGTGTGGCAACTCGTACCGTTACGCAGTAATGCCTGGTCCTATGTTAATATTGATTGATTAAGGGGGTAAAAGATAGCTAAGCATTTATCTGAACATGACAGTGATGCTGATCATGAGGAAACCTGGCGTGATATTCACTGTCGTAGAAACAGTGGTAAGGATAGTTGGGTTGGTAACCTAGAACTGTAGGTTAGCGAACGTCAAGAGATATCGGCAGCATCATGCTAACTGGTTGGTGCGAGATGACTGATTCTAGTTGTCTTTGACCACACAGAAGAGTGGAAGCAGAAGAAACGTGAGTTGACAAGGAGTCTTCGCGTCTATCGAGAGCATTGGTGCGTGATGAAAGCAAGAGAGATAAAGAACGCATTAGTGTTGGGTAACACTCGCCAACCCTTTAGGTTTATTTGGATACTGGAAAGAGGAAGACGATGGTGAGTGAAACCCTGACGGGAAAGACTGGAAAGCTGATAACCTTGAAGGACAGGTGGCTAGAACGTTGGGCAGAACACTTTCTAGCACAGTTCAAGTGGCCTTCAGCAATGCTTGAGTTGCCCAACATCCAGCCTTAACCCGAATCGAACGTAGATGTCGATTTTCCAACTTTCGTTGAAGTTGAGAAGGGTGTATTGAACGTGAAACGATGCAAAACAGCAGGACCTAAGAGGGGGGAGATAGGTTTCAGACTTGGTCTCAAGTGTATCAATCAAATATTTAGGCTTAACCAAATCTTACTACAGGAATACTTACCAGTACCCGACACTAGGACAATTTGCTGTAGCGTAGACGGTTAAGAAATTTTTCAAGCAAACACTAAACAGTGGACCTATGGTATGGGTGGTGATTGCTACTTTAGTTATATGGACTCATTTATATGTTGATCTGTAAGTCGGGTACTAAAGTTACTACATATATTGTTTCAATTTTCATACAAATTTTAGGGACTATATTATTTAATGGACGATGAAGTATCTAAATGACCACCACTGGTGTAAAGGTTTTGATTATTGATTTGAGCATTTGACTCTCAATAAGTTCTCAGTTAAAGACCTGCTCCACCCACTTCGCTATAAGCAACTGGGTAGTATCGTAGGCCTACAGATAATGATTGTAACTCAGTGTACTACATGAAACTGTGTATACTTGAAAGAGCACAACTTGGGCACAATGATAGAGTATAGTTCCATATTTGGTATGGGGCACAGTGATTCAGCATTATTTTATACTATGTGCCATATGGAATAAGCAGTCTAACTTGAAATTGTACCTCATTGAGTTACATTATTATGCTGGTACACTATGGGCACTAACGATTGTACCACAAATTCAGCGATAACTATATGCAATAAAAATAAAGGATTTAACTGCCTGGTAGGCAGGCTATATAAATTGAACAAAATTATGCCAGTCACTATACTTGATGGATGAACTCATTTTATCTTTCTTAAAATTTTGCAGGGACTACATCCTTCGTCATTATGCATCTCTCAAGTCAGCTAACCCACATGTGAAATTTATGGTTCGTGAGTCAGAAGGTATTACACCAAAAGTGTTTGCTCGTTACGGTTTGTTTATTTGTTTACTTACTGTAATTTACCTCCTCATAGAAATGGGAAAGGAAGCCTGTATTTCGATAGCGAATAATGGAGCTGATGAGATAGCTGAAAAATTAAAGTTTTTAAACCGAACATAATGTGTTATTTTTAGTGAATCCCATATAAATAAGTATTTGAGTAAAAGTAGTTATGTGAATAAATGATATTATTTATTTTATTCATTTCTTATATAAGTACGAGAAAGCCAGTAGACGAATATTTTGAAGTGGTTTGTCTGCAGACAAGGCATCGATTTCTTAAGTTCCTGCTGATTCTGAAGTCCACATACGTGTAATATAAACCTACACGAAGTCGCAATACAGGATATTGAAGATTTCGTCATGGTTTAGCAAGTGAAATGGCAGATTTACTTCTTTTTCTAATCTAAAGTAATGCAGTAACTGCCTGAATCGGTAGTTGACGAAGGCTTATTAATTTATCAGTCCACTATTCTACGTGCATCACTTATGAGCTAAAACGAGTGGAAGATAATACTGTAAGAAATTGTGATTCAGAAAAGTATGTATGAATGTTTGTTAGAAAAATATGACAGTCTCTTTATGATTTAACCTTTCTTCAGTTTGGTGAACGATCAGTCAATTTAAATTCTTAATCTGCAAATGAGTTTTCGAAAGCATGTACCTTGGGATTGTTAGAAATAGAAGATATATGGTCATCCCTTGGTAATCGTACACGGAAAAATCTCATACGAAGAAAGGTTTTATCAGTTTCTATGGCAGAGTCTTGTACAGGAATAGATGGAATCTTGTCATGCTTGTCGACTGCATACATAGTGAATCGATGGACAGATTAATTATTCAAAATCAGCCCTTCTGGTAGAAAGGATCGGATAGGGAGTAAGTGAGCGTTAAGAAAGTAATTTGCTCAATAGGTTTGAAAGTAAATTTGTCTTTTACACTTTCGTCACATAGGCCACCAACAATTCTGACAACTAACATGGCAGGCCGCAGTTGGTTACCGGTTGCCAATCAATTAACTGATTGCATTCCTGCTGTTTACCAGCTGCAACTTGAATGTTTGAGTCGTAATATCGCACCGGAATCTTTTCGCGAGCACTAGTCTCAAGTTTGCCTATTTAGAGGGTTTACGCATTATAATTAGGGCACGAAGTTTATCTGAACAATATGATGTGTTTATGCAATACATTTTGAACAACCTGCTCACACTTTACTTGTCAAGTGAGTTTATAATAAATCGAAGAATGAGAAGGAAAATATAAGAATTAAGATGGTAGGGGGTAAAAATTAAGAAAGATGAGAACAAAAAATGAAGAGTGACATAGTTGATCCTGATCTTGGAAAGAAAACAAGGTTCACCAAGGTAGTTGTAGTTTACGAACAAATTGTTTTTGTACACAATGGTGGTTTCAGTTTGTTTGTGGCTGTGGTTTCCGCAAATCTCGGTATACGTCCCTGACTGTTTCTATATAAAACTTTGAACATTAATTTTGTGACGTTTTTCTATAATATGTTTAGCTACAGATGAGGGTTGCCTTCCACCTGCGCTTATCGAAATTTCACACTCCATTTATTGATGAAGCCACTTAGATGCACGTTCTCCCGCCCTCAGCTGCATGCCTAATTACTCCTCCCTATGTATGTGTGACCACACACATATGTAGACTGGTAAACACAATGAGATATGATGTAATCATTGATGCACTGTTTTTCCCCAGTAATAAGATTAGCTGTATGATCTGTTTTCCTAATGGCTGATATTAGCCTACGTCTCAAAGTTATACTATTCAACTTCCCTCTAAATGCAGAGTGATAGTGACGCTTTTCTTAGGAACCGTGTATAGAGTTACTTTCGGTGCTACCTAACTTCTACACCAGTTTTAAACGTCAACTGATATTCGTTTTCCATGAGTGTTTTGGTCAGTAATTTACTGTCTTCATCCATCGTATGTGATGTACAGATCCGATAGATCCTATTAAACAGGTATTTTATTATATCGTTTGTATTTAATCGGACAAAAGCTGTGAAAATTGTTCTGTCTGTGTAGGCTTTCTGTAGACTGAGCGTCTTATTGAATCATCTCGTCAACTCAGTAGTACGTGTATGAATGGCAGATGATTATTATTCTCTTTCTCACAAGTCAAACTGATATGATACGGTGTTCAGTCTTTTTACTAGACAAGCCACATCCTCATGCTTCTCACAAATCTCTATGATATCATCGACATACCTCTATCTCTTGTAAAGAGGAACTTTAGCGGTGGAACCACTAGCCAGATTTCCGATATATGACATAAATATCAACTAGTAATGGTTGTCTACTTGTCAAAAGCGTTCACCTTAAAATGTGAAATGAACTTTGTCGGCACCCAACAATGATAGTTTTCTCAGAAAAGTTGGAGTAATAAGGAATGAGGCACTTCTAGAAGATGTATAATTAAAAAGAATTTTAATAGTCGTGGGCAAACAGTAAAATTTCTGGTCAGAGACTGGGATACAGTCGCTGATTCGACCAATTAAATTTTCAAACTGTGCATATGTATGGAGTTTGTTGACATTTTCAGTGGTGTCGCAGAAGTTGGAATACATAGACTAGGTCTCTAATTTTAGCCTGGAAAATAAAACTGATGTATGTTTAAACACAAACCTCATTGAGTTGTCAAGGCATTCATGGTGGATTTGAAAATATTGTAAAATCTCAAAGCACTAAACATTGTTATCGAAGACAGTTGGATTTATTGATGGTGCTGCATTCTCTGAGTTGGACAGTTTAGCTGTGAATCTGTCATTATCATTCTCTATATCATTGGTACAAACTTGTGAAAAGAGAGTTATGAGGATTTCTCTACAGGTGGCCTTAGTAGCTACTCCTGACGACTATGGATGATTACTTTTTTATACTATCAGTTTTAGAAGTCTGAATCATTTGGTAGAATCATGTGACCACTATGTTGACTCTCCGACTCAGTTTTCGGTAAAGATTAAAAACGATTAATATTGACAGTGGCAAACTGGTGGTGTCTTCTGACCTCAATTGAGTCGAAACTACTTTAGGATACAACAACACTTCTCCTAGCCAGCCATAAGCATCTTTCGGCACACACATAACTACAAGTTTTGATGGAATAAAGTGGCTTATATACTATAAAATATTTCAAATTCAACGGAAAGCTACAAGCATACAAATTGAACAGCAACAGGATCGCCTATATCCGGACATATTCCGTTGACAGCAATGCAAAGATTGCTAACTGTCATCTTGCATTTGATTAAACAAAAACTTTGGGTCCGGTATGCAGTCGAAACGAATTGGAAACCGTGAGGTAATCAATAACGTCTTTGATGACGAGACTCAAAACTGCTTAGGAATTAAACAACGTACTTATGGTTTTTGATGTTCTGATCACCAAGACAATTTCAAAAAATTGGTAACTCAACTATGTTAAAGATCAGCGCATAGTGATAAAATTGTCAACTGCAGTAGCAACGTGTGAAATGTGTTGTTTAAAAACATTGTTTAAGAGATCGAAGATACACTATTGTACATACAATTTACGGTAGAAAGAAAATTATTTAATAGCTATCCTCTGGTCAATCATACAATTTTATCAAAACATGTTTTTCAGGTGCAACTTCGACCAAATAGTCATCTCTGAAAGCACCAGGCCGATTATCGTACCAGGTAGTTGGGAACGTCTTGGAGATCGCAACTAAGTTGTCAAAGCCTTTTGAAATCGCTGCAGCCGATATGCCTGCAAAATACCTTCGCCCAACATAATGTAGGCGAAAGGGCAATCTTGAACGAAGACAAGCCATATGTGTTATATATTAAATATGTGAAGAAACGCTGTATCCCGTAGGGTAGTCATGCTTTTTTGTCCTGCACAAAAATCAATTACCAGTGAAAGGTCAGTGTACATCTCCGCCTACGCACCGTCTGCAGTTTGGATGAATCAAAGGACGAATTTTATCGAAAGTTGTCAATTTTGCTACATAAAGCAGAATATTCACAGACGGTCATAATAGCAAGCAACTTTGAGGCTCAAGTAGGAAAGCTGAGCTAATGAGAAAGGTATATATCGGTGTGTTTGAGGAATCCCATGCCTACGAACCGACAACGATGATCGTAAGTCACTAGTTGCTGAATAGCAGTAATTCAAGCACAAGGAGACGCTTTTCCATCGGATTCACCGACATCAAACCAACGATGGACGCGGACAAATCATATTGCTATAAACCATCTTTGGAGAGGATCAGGAGAGGTTTGTCACTGCTTATGGAGTACCTGTATGGACTCCGACCATGCACTAGTACGGGAACTTGTATATCTGCATCTTACTGGGTGCAAATAACAAGTGGGAGTGAAGCCTGTGTGTGCTCGATTGGAAGTTGGAAACACCGAGTGTGTATTTAAGGAGGTAGAAGATAGCTAAGCATTTATCTGAACATGACAGTGATGCTGATCATGAGGAAACCTGGCGTGATATTCACTGTCGTAGAAACAGTGGTAAGGATAGTTGGGTTGGTAACCTAGAACTGTAGGTTAGCGAACGTCAAGAGATATCGGCAGCATCATGCTAACTGGTTGGTGCGAGATGACTGATTCTAGTTGTCTTTGACCACACAGAAGAGTGGAAGCAGAAGAAACGTGAGTTGACAAGGAGTCTTCGCGTCTATCGAGAGCATTGGTGCGTGATGAAAGCAAGAGAGATAAAGAACGCATTAGTGTTGGGTAACACTCGCCAACCCTTTAGGTTTATTTTGGATACTGGAAAGAGGAAGACGATGGTGAGTGAAACCCTGACGGGAAAGACTGGAAAGCTGATAACCTTGAAGGACAGGTGGCTAGAACGTTGGGCAGAACACTTTCTAGCACAGTTCAAGTGGCCTTCAGCAATGCTTGAGTTGCCCAACATCCAGCCTTAACCCGAATCGAACGTAGATGTCGATTTTCCAACTTTCGTTGAAGTTGAGAAGGGTGTATTGAACGTGAAACGATGCAAAACTGCAGGACTTGAGACCTCAGCACTTAGGGTTTTCAGGTAAGAATGTAGGAAATTGCTGCTTGAAGTGGTGGATGTATTAGGTGGTGTATATGAATCAGAGTTAGTGCTGTCAGACTGGTGTACATCACTGATCATTCCAGTGTATAAGAAGAGAGGGATGTCTACTTAAGATAACCATTGGGGGATGAGGTTG